CAAAGTTATGTCATTTCCAATCGTTCAGTTATATTGCAGCTATAGGATATAGTCGGCCGATCCTTATGAAATTTGGCAGGTCGGATTGATTGGCCAAAAATAAAACCCATAGATAATCCCAACTTCCTAACTTTACAAACACCAAAGTTATGGCATTTTCGATCAATCAGTTATATGGCAGCTATAGGATATAGTCGTCCGATCCTTATGAAATTTGGTAAGTCAGACTGATTAGCCAAAACTAAAACCCATAGAACTTCCTAACTTGCTAACTTGAAAAACACCAAAGTTATGGCATTTCCGATCGTTCAGTTATATGGCAGCTATATGATATAGTAGCCCGATCCGGCTCGTTCCGACTTATATACTACCTGCAATAGAAAGACAACTTTTGGGAAAGTTTCAAGCAGATAGCTTTAAAACTGAGGGACTAGTTTGCGTAGAAACGGACGGACGGACAGACGGACAGACGGACGGACAGACGGACATGGCTTGATCGACTCTCCTGGTGATGCTGATCAAGAATATATATACTTTATAGGGTCGGAAATGTCTCCTTCACTGCGTTGCAAACTTTTGACTGAAATTATAATACCCTCTGCAAGGGTATAATGATGAAATATCTATGTATTTAAGCTAAACTCTACAGCTTCAAGAGCTGCGTTGTCGGTACTTGCATGACTAGCTGGAGCGTGTGGAGATGTAAAACTAGGTAGGTACACATGTTCTGTTAAGAGAACTCCTAACTACTTTGCTAAAGGGATTTTGCGCGTAAATATGTTGTGCTACCATTTTAGTATTATTTTGCTGAGTGGGGATCGCAGATTTTCTCTGCCATTTCGGTTGTGGGAATTGAGTTACATCATTCGTGTCAACTTCGTCAAGAATTTGGAATAGGGAGGGGTATCTAATCTTAGTTTCATTACGAGAGAGGTTTTCTAATGTCATGCACTTTTGGATAGCGTACGCTCTCTTTCGTGCTGGGCATTCGAGGGAGGTCGCTATATGTTGCTGCTTGCAGTCGGACTAACGTTACCTTTTGTGTACAAAAACACAATTTCATTTGGGATTTGGGCTCCCTTAAATAAAATTTTCACTCTTGAAGTGTTAATAAAGTTCTCTTTATTTTCCCTATCTCTCGTCTTTACACGAATGACGTCGTGAATCGGCACTGGTGAGGAAATATACTCTTTGAACTCAGCGTCAGAAAATTGCTCGGAAATATTAAAAATATTGCCCATTTTAAAAATAAATTGTTTAAAAATCTTGGGTTCGTAGCCATTATTTTTTAGGTCGGAAGATAATATGTTGTTTGCTGCCATCGCTGATCTGTACTCAGCTTTGCAGCGTCCATAGCCAATTTTGCTAACCGAGATAATATCATTAATTTTTAGTTTGACCAGTACTGCATTTAACTCTAGCGGATTTATTGGGGCTCTTGTGTATTTGTTGTCAGCGTTAGTTGTACCAATTTTGTCGATGTAAGCCACAAACGGTCCTTTGTGGTAGTTGTTGTAAAGTAAAGCGTTATTCTCTGATTTGTCCTTTAAGCCTAGTATCGAGATCGACAAACGAATACGCTAGCGTAAAAACTTTAATCTTTCCAGTGTGACCAAAGTTTCGAGAGTTCATCAGATTTAAGCGTGCTACGGTCGTACTGTCAATCAGCTGGGTTTGTTGACAAGCAGTTAAAATTCAAATATCGTATTTGCGGGAAAGAGCCTTTAAAAGATATTATCAAATACCTTGGCAAGACAAGTCTGCCGGTGTACAAAGAAATTAAAAAACAATACAATTAAAATTTAACAGTTGTTTTTTTTAATTTACTGATAATTATTTGCTAATTTAAAGTTCATAGCTGCACTCTTATTGTGTTTTTCGTACATTCTGGACCTAAACAACATTTTACGAAATTTGAAGCCCAATGAAAAAATGTTATGTAAATACCTCAATAAATTTAATCTAAGCAGCTCTGACGAAGAAGGCTAGTAAATATAATTAAATGTAATATTCTGATCTTAAAAGATACTTACAAGACTGGACAAAGAAGTTCCTTTATTATTTTATTTTAAGAACATGTTACTCGATGACTGGACAAAGAAGTTCCTCTATTATTTTATTTTAAGAAAATGTTACAAAATGAATTTTAAGCATTTAATTGAATGTAGCTTTTAAGAGTTTGTTTTCGAGCCCTGTGTTAGGTCGCCGCCAAACATATTAAACCAAAAAGGTTACATTTTGACTCGTCTGCAAATAACACGTCATTCCAAAAAGAAATCGGAAGAAGAATATGCTCCCTTGTTCCTAATACAGAGCTAGAGAGCAAACACCTATAAGCTACAGTCAATCATGACGGGGATCATGTTATGGTTCGGGCCTGTATGGCAGCTTCTGGCGGGGCAACCTCGTTTTTATTGACGGGATCATGGATGGCCAAGATGTACCTACAGATTTTAAAGGAAAACCTGCTGAAAACTGCTGAAAAACTGGGCATACGCGATCGATTTCGATTTTACCAGGACAACGATCCGAAGCATTCATCAGGAATTGTGAAGGTTTAACTTGTCTGAAACTGTCCTCATGTCTTCATAACGCCAGCACAGTCTCCAAATTTAAATGTGATCGAAAATTTTTAAATTACCAATTATAAGTTAAGTAGAATGAACTGCACGAAATAAGCTGCGGCATGAAAAAAGCCTGTACACTTTGTTTTTATTAAATAATTGTTTTGTTTTTATGATTACGAAAATCGCTTTTGTTTAATAAACATGTTAATATTCCCTATTAAAATACTGCGTTAACATTTAAGTCTAAGCCTTCTTAAATTTCTAAGTCTGGACTTTGGGTGGAAACTACTACTACATCAACTAATAACAATAGTCCTGCACCGTCATGGGAAAGTGCAAGGACTTTACTAAATTATACATTACATAAAAAGAAAAACGTGTTAATTATTTAATTTTTGTTGCTCTAAAGTTTTTAATCATTCACATAAACATATATTTTATTTTTGAATTAAAATCTAGAGTATTGAAGAAATTTATTGGCAACTGTTTTCATACCCTTGCAGAGGGTATTATAATTTTGGTCAAAAGTGTGCATCGCAGTGAAGGAGACATCTCCGACCCTATAAAGTATATATATTCTTGATCAGGATCACCTCCTGAGTTGATATAAGCATGTCCGTCTGTCCATCTGTACGTCTGTCTGTCTGTTTCTACGCAAACTAGTCTCTCTGTTTTTAAGATATCGAATTGAAACTTTGCACACACCCTTCTTTCCTTTGCACGCAGTATACATGTCGGAACGGGATTTTCTATGGTTTTGATTTTTGGCCAATCAATCCGACCTATCAAATTTCATAAGGATCGGCCCATAATATCTTATAGCTGCCATATAACTGAACGATTGGAAATGCATGCAATGAAGTTTGGATTTTTTATGAGTATTAAGAATGCAACATATGAATAATTTTGGAGAATATAATTTACAAAGTATTCTGCAAGGGTATATCAACTTCCGCCCGAAGTTAGCTTTCCATTCTTGTTTTTTATTTCAATTCTTTCCGTTTTTTAAATAACAGTTGGATTATATTTTCAGATGCAAGCGTGACGTTGAAAGAAGGAAAGTTTTAAACTGAAAGTAGAAAAGTTGTCTACGTAAAATCTGAATATCAGATTCTGGAAACAACTATTGCAAGCAGTCTTCGAAAACCACAAGCCTTTGTGAGAGATTATTATTATTAAAATTATTCATATTTGCACTCTTGCAGGATATTTATGCCAAGACATCCTCCTCCTGGCAGCCGTACTGCGCGTTTTCTCGACGGATAAGGAAAGCAAAAAAGGTATGTGAAATAAGCAGACGCACTGGAGAGCATTTTTCTTCGAATGAATAATAATCAATAAGTATTACTCATAAAAACTAACTGAGTTATCCTATGTGATAATACAACATTTAAACAATATATGTGAAAATCTGCGTTCAAAAATATTAATAAGTAAGTGAAATATAGGCAATTTCTGGCGGCACCTCGAATAAAAGGTGGTTTGCGCTGTACATCGTAACTAATCGCAGAATCATCTGAGTTGAAAAAATCAATTTGCACTATTTAACGCTGTCAAGTTTTTATTTTTAAATTTTTTTCGATTTTTAAATGCACTTGAAAGTCAAAAGCCTTGATTTTTGCCCAAAACTCCGAGTTATTTGTTGTTTTTAAAATAATACATTTTCCCAAAAACAAAAATACTCGACAGCGTTAGAATTTAGCAAAATTGTAAAACAATTCGTCCAGAAGGTTTTGCAGGATCGTTCCTATGGGAGTTAATAATAGCCCGGATCGGGCAGATCGGGCGACTGATCCGGCTCGATGCAATAGAAAGACAACTTCTGGGAAAGTTTAAAGCAGATAGCTTTAAAACTGGAGACTAGTTTGCGTACAAACGGACGGACCGACGGACATGGCTAGATCGACTCCTTTATAGGGTCGGAAATGTCTCCTTCACTGCGTTGCAAACATTTGACTGGATTTAGTTTAGGCTTACAGAAGGTTAAAAGAGGAAATGCATTTATTGTTGTTTTGCAATATTGGTAATGGGTGATTACACTAATTGTCCTATAAACTGTGATTGCTGTCTTTATCTGGCTGCTTGACTATCTTGGCAGCAAGTGTATTGACTTAAGAGTCTTGATTATTTTTTTGGATGATATAATAATTTACTTTTCAAGGTCGACAAGCCTTAACGCTACTTATTTGAGATATTTTTTTACCAATTACTTTCGGGCTCAGGTTTTTCAGGAGTGGTAACCCGCTTTGGGAGCACAAGCTTAATTTGAATTAACAATGTCACACGTTGAAGCTTTGTGACAAGGCCAAGGCAACGGCTGTGTAAACTGGCAGCATTACGAATTCGACGTATTTATTCGTTAATTTATTTGAATCTGGATCGTTTTCCATTCACCCACAGCCCTCGTCGTAATTATTTCATGAAAATACATTTTGAATTCGTTTTTTACTTTCTAATAACATTTTTTTGAGCAAATGTATTTCGTTGCCAGTTGTAAAAGCTTGACTTCTGTTTAAGCTTCTCTTGTTGCGCCTGCTCCGACTTTAGTTGCATAATGTAGTTCTCCATTAGCCGACTGGGTGTGTTTTGCTGGAAATTTAACGTTGGAGTGGTCATTTCCGTATCCATCTGTTGACGGGTCCTCCAGTATCGATGCAGCCCATCCACTCCAAAGGCCGGCACCTCAATACACAAAAAGTACGCCAGCTCCATGCCACTTATTAAGGAGCATCCCAGAAACAAGCCGGCAATTCCACCAAAGCTAACTGAAAAAAAGGGTAAATTTATTTACAGAATACATTTAAAAGCGTATTCCCACAGAGATCCATCCACCATCCGTTGAACGGATGGTCCATAAGGTTTTGCCGTTCCGAAAATTCCCAGTTAGTTCCCCATCCAAATTTAACGGACTTTTTTATGCGGACTTTTTTATCGGGAGAGTCGATCTAGCCATGTCCGTCTGTACGTCCGTCCGTCCGTTTCTACGCAAACTAGTCCCTCACTTTTAAAGCTATCTGCTTGAAACTTTCCCAAAAGTTTTCTTTCTATTGCGGGTAGTACATATGTCGGAACGAGCCGGATCGGCCGACTATATCATATAGCTTCCATAGGAACAATCGAAAAAAAAAAAATTTTTAATGGTAACTTTGTTGTTATACCCTTGCAGAGGGTATTATAATTTTGGTCAAAAGTGTGCAACGCAGTGAAGGAGACATCTCCGACCCTATAAAGTATATATATTCTTGATCAGGATCACCTCCTGAGTTGATATAGCCATGTCCGTCTGTCCGTCTGTCCGTCTGTCCGTCTGTCCGTCTGTCCGTCTGTCCGTCTGTCTGTCCGTCTGTCTGTTTCTACGCGAACTAGTCTCTCAGTTTTAAAGATATCGAATTGAAACTTTGCACACACCCTTCTTTCCTTTGCACGCAGTATATAAGTCGGAACGGCCGGGATCGGCCGACTATATCCTATAGCTGCCATATAACTGATTGATCGGAAATGCCATAACTCTGCTGTTTGTTAGGTTAGGAAGTTGGGACTTTCTATGGGTTTTATATTTGGCCAATCAATCCGACGTACCAAATTTCATAAGGATCGGCCGACTATATCTTATAGCTGCCATATAACTGATTGATCGGAAATGCCATAACTTTGGTGTTTGTAAAGTTAGGAAGTTGGGATTTTCTATGGGTTTTATATTTGGCCAATCAATCCGACGTACCAAATTTCATAAGGATCGGCCGACTATATCTTATAGCTGCCATATAACTGATTGATCGGAAATGCCATAACTTTGGTGTTTGTAAAGTTAGGAAGTTGGGATTTTCTATGGGTTTTATTTTTGCCTAATCAATCCGACATATCAAATTTCATAAGGATCGGCCGACTATATTCTATAACTGCCATATAACTGAACGATTGGAAATGCCATAACTTTGGTGTTTTTAAAGTTAGGAAGTTGGGATTTTTTATGAGTATTAAGAATGCATTATGAATGATTTTGGAGAATATAATTTGCAGAATATTCTGCAAGGGTATTTCAACTTCGGCTCCGCCCGAAGTTAGCTTTCCTTTCTTGTTTTTAATTTTTTTTTGTTTGTTCGTTGGGATTTGGTAATATTTAAATATTATGGAATTACGGTTTTAATTAAATTAAAATCGGATAACACTATCATATAGCTGCCATAGAAACGATGGGAAAATGCAGTCGATTTGTAATAACTGCAAGGGTATATAAACTTCGGCTTGCAGAAGTTTGCTTCCTTTCTTGTTTTTCTTTAGTTTTTACTTTGTAAAGGTCTTAGGATGTGGACCCCGCTGATCTGGAAGCCTCTGCAGCGGAAGTCAACTCTGAAGCAGCTCTGCGCCCCCTGCAAAGCGCGTGTGTCTGATGTACTACTGTAGGTGAAGAGTAAGGTGAATTTTCAATTAAACATTCGCGGGCTTAAGATGGCGGACTAGTTCTTTTTTTCTTGAGTTGGCAGGACTGTTGATGACATCTGGCGGTAATTTCATGTCAATGTCAGTATCAGTATTTACGCTTGTGTTTACCAAAGGATCAAGAGTGCATTAGTCGATTTTTACAATGTCTGATTTAACTGAGCAGAGAAGTAGCATCAAATTTTGTTTGCGGAATGAAATTTCGGCTGCGGAAACGTTGAGGATGTTGCGCAAGGCCTTTGGTGATTCTACCATGTCCCTGAAAAATGTTTACAAGTGGTACAAAGACTTCAAAGAGGGTCGGGAACGTGTTGACGACAGATGACCAACACGTCAATGAAGTGAAGGAATTAGTGCTCAAAAATCGTCGGTTGACTGATATGATCGGAATATCAGAAGGATCTGTGAAAACCATTTTGAAAGACCGTTTGGGCCTACGAAAAGTCAAATCTCGTTTGGTACCGAAAACAATCAATTTCTGCACTCGTTCTTCGTGACCAAATCGCCAAAAATTCGACGCATATCGTTCCGCAACCACCATATTCTCCTGATTTGGATCCGTGTGACTTCTGGCTATTACCAAAACTCAAGAGACCACTCCGGGGAACGCGTTTCGAGTCGATTGAAGAGATAAAAGCGGAATCGACGAGGGCGCTCATGGCTATACCGGAAAGGGATTATTTGGCCTGTTTCGAGGATTTGAAAAAACGTTAGCATAATTTTTTTTATCGGGAGGGGATTACTTTGAAGGGGATGAAATTGATTCAGGAAAATAAATAAAGAATTTTCACCTTACAAACAATGTTAAGTGGAATAAATCGTTGTGTTATAGAAGAAATTAAAATATAACCAATAACACTACAACAAACAAATTCACCTTACTTTTTGCCCACAGTAGTACATTTTCCATTTAAAAAGTAACGAACAGTTTTATTTTAAATGTAACGACAAGCTAACGATAAGTTTAACAGCAAAGGGAAAACCTAAAGAGGGGTGAAAAGGAGTGCGCAAATTAAGAGAGAAAGACGATTACGAGAGCAAAAAGACGAGACGACGAGATGAAGCGGCAAAAAGACGAGCGGAGAGTTTGATGAAGGAAGCCGAAGACGACGCATCAAGACGAGAGCAACGACGTTCGTTATTAAATAAAACCTATTAAAACCTCTAGACATTGTATTTGAAGAAGCTGTAATCAATTATCCTAAGCCTTAATTAACTATTATATTAAATTTTAACCAAAACCCCACATTTTGAGGCTCTCTGGGAGAAAAATAACACTTTTTCTGTATTTCAGAATTGTGTGTGTATCGCAAAAGTGAATCGAAAAACGACGCAAATTTTTGTCAAAACTTAAATAAAAAGGAATTATAGCCGGAACTCTAAGATCGAGCAGCAAATCTAGCATTGTTGCATTACACAATTTTGTGTTCGGAAGTGAAGGAGACGAAAACAACCGAAAGAGGCTGTGCGCATTTAGTGGTTTTTAAATAAGCAAAGAAAGTGATGAATACAGGCGCAAATTTGCTTATATTAACGAAAACATAAGTAACCGTGAAGGCAAGAATTGAAGACATTGACTTCCATCTTTCAAAATCTTTTTTTTTATGATACCTTGATCGAGGTAAAAGCGCGTGCCGATCGGACGTCTATATCCTATAGCTCCCATAGGAACAACAGGGTGAAATCGGTTAAAATTTGATGTTTTTCAGGATATTTCGCGCAGTATATAAGCTATTAACATGAATCTTTTCAAATCTGTCTATTTCTACGCGAACTAGTCTCTCAGTTTAAAAGATATCAAACTGAAACTTTGCACACACCCTTCTTTCTTTTGCACGCAATATATAGGTCGGGATCGGCTGACTATATCCTATACCTGCCATATAACTGAACGATCGGAAATGCCATAACTTTTGTATTTGTAAAGTTAGGAAGTTGGTATTTTCTATGGATTTTATATTTGGCCAATCAATCCGACCTACCTTTATAACAACTATATCATATAGTTTCCATATAACTGAACGATTGAAAATGCCATAACTTTGGTGTTTTTAAAGTTAGGAAGTTGGGATTTCTTATGGGTTTTATTTTTGGCCAACCAATATAATTTACAGAATATTCTGCACGGGTATATCAACTTCGGCTCCGCCCGATATTAGCTTTCTTTTTTTGTTTTATCCATACCTCGATCAGGGTTAAAGGGGAAATGGGTACATTGTTGATTATGTATTTTCTATCGTACATGTGCCGTCCTTCTTAATTCTCATTGTTACGGAACTGCATCGTCCAGGGACCGCTCCGGCTAGCTCCGGAAGGAGTACCCCCAATATCCCTACAGCTTACACAACATTCAATATCGATTACTATCGACGTCTCACTCTACAAATATTAACATCTCTAATAACGAAAAAGTAAACAAAACCAAAATAACAGAATCGATTGTCCCCTCGTGGTGAATAGATGTCTTTTGGATCGGTGTGATTTAAATTATTTAAAAGTGTGGAATAAAAGTTTTAAAAAAATTTGATCTAATTCTTATTTTTTCTGGAGTGCTGAAAAAAAAAGGCCTCAATACGAGGAGCCTAATTAAAAAAAAAAACACCATGTCCTCCACGGCCAAGGAGAAATTCCTGGCCTCGGATGCAGTGGCTTGTAAAGCCAAAAAACCTAAATTTGAAAGAAGGACAAGAAATGGAGGAAACGACGAAGAGATGGTAGAAGAACCAATGGAAGTCAGGCCAATAACCCCTAACCAAACGGTATCTGGAATTCAGATGGAAAACAAGCAAGTAGAGCATGCAATGAAAATGGAATATGACGGTGATCATAAGGGACCGTTTATGGTATATGTGGACAAGAAGAGAACAAGTGGAGAACAGTGTAGAGTGCCGATTAACCCATTGGAGCTAAGCGGGATTTTAGTCAAAAATAAAATGATTGGTATTATCGCAGTGCAAAAGATAGGCTTTGGGCGTTGCAAAATTGAATTTAAATCAGCAAAAGAGGCGAATTTATTAGTTAATTCCGATCTTGACAAATACGGATATGAACCGAAAATTTGTAAGCACTTTATTTATAAAACTGGAATAATATATCAAATTCCAACCTCTTTTACAACTGAAATGATTAAGGAGTCGATTATTTCTTCAATGCCTATCGAAGAGGTGATTAGAATTAACACCACAGATAAAAATAATAAAGAGATTTTAGTACCTACCAGCAAAGTTAAATTATTATTTAGAGGCAATCAAATTCCCTCTGAAATAACTCTCCTATATACAAAAGTTCCTGTTTCGAATTTTGTTCCTTTTAATCAATGTTATAG